TCCCCACACTGCCAACCCATGTTCATCTTGGAGGCAATGACGACTCCAAGATCCTTTTCCACCTCCATGCTGACAAGAGGGGAGTTCCCCAACCTATAGGTATGGTGCCAGTTGTTCCTCCCCAGGTGCATCACTTGCTGAATACCTTTTGCAAATTCAGACCTAAGCCATGGTAAATTAATTGCTAACAGCGCTCATTTGTGAACTCAACCTCAGGTAGTTTCCTAATGTAAACACAGAGGTGGTTGTTTAGACATTAGCCTGAAGACAAACAGAAGGCGGGCAGTGATACCTTGCAAAAAGATTCAGAGCATCGTACTTCATCAGATGCAGATATATACAGACTATAATGGTAGTGCCCAACCTTTTTGCCCAACAGGCCAGATGTGTGGTGCCCAGTCCTTCTAGTGTGTGGAGTGAGGGCCCAATCTGGCTGTGCAGGGCTTGGAAATTTGGAAGCCGGGGAGAGGTGGCAGTATGGATGGCTACTGCTCCCCTGCTGCCAAATTTTCTGACCATGGAAAGCTTCGTGAGCTGGATGCCATGGCTTTATGGGCCCCTGGACTATAGCATTTATAGGAAACAACACAATCACAGGACTGCAGAAAAGGTCTGACTTAAACAGGTTTTTGTCTTATGAACAAAGTTTTTCAGCCCCTCTGCTCCATACTTACACTCTGCAGGGACACAAACACACACACAGTAATTACAGTATACAGGGTGGCTTTGCAGATGGACCCCACATTTCCTTTCCATTTCTGCATTGGACAGTTTCTGGTGAATACAAGTGAAATATACATACTTCCTCATAAGGAATGCTGGGAGTCCCCATAGAAATTTTCTAGCTTGAGTAAGTTTCTAGTTTTTACAGGTTCGATTTTAACCTTCACTCTACTTCAACTCAACATCTAAATTGGCTGAATTTTTTCAGTCTGCCTTACTGAATCTTTTTCAGCTGAATCATTCCTGTTTGGTTGCACAGATTGTATAAAAGCTGCACTGTATTTTACTTTACAGAAACCAACACTCATTAGATGAAAAAGTAGTTTTCTTGCTGTTGCAGGGGGCATGGGGTGGGAAGTTGTTTTTGAAGAAAGCTGTTGTAAAGGTTTTTTGGATCTTCTTTTCTCCCCCATTTTTACAGCTAACCAGCTGCTAAAGTTTGGAACACTCGTCAGCACTTCAAATGCATATGACAGCTCTGGAATTGTGACCATCGAAACTGACAAGCCTTTGCTGTGGACAATGGCCATCAAAAGTGAGCCAAATGCTTATAATTAAGCAAATGCCACCTGTTCATTTGATCAAAGACTGAATTTGTTGGAAAACTGCACTCATCTGTAGGCACGGAAGGATTATTCTTGAAGAGGTAGATTCAACTTAAAAGCAAGATTTGGGGGTTAGAGGGGGAAAGACTGAAAGATCTTCAAGACATCAAATCAAGGGTAGTAACAGTTCCACGTATGTATTTATAATACATAAGCACCTACTAAACCAGCATAGTCAGTATGCCATAATAGGCATTAAAGATTGCTCAACTCTTTATTTTTGTAATTTTCCTATATTGTTTGATTACTACTACTAACATAAGTTGTCTGGAAACAGCAGTTTCAAAAGTCACTGTGGTCAGCAGTAAAATAGTAATTTAATAGTTAAAATATTCTACTGAGATATTTTATTTGTGGCTTTGATTCACATTTTAATAGTGCCATACAAATATTTACTATTGTACTTTTATAGGAGTGAAACTGTACAGCGTGGCAGTGACCAGTTGATTTTGTGCCTTATTGTTTAGGAACTTAAGACTGTTCGCAGACATTAAAAAAAAAAAAAGACATCTGACCCTCCCCCCACCCCACAAAAGGCGTTTCATTTTAAACTTGGTGCGCTCCTACACCGAGCCCAGCACATGCCCAGAAGAGGCATTAGTCAGAGCCAGGGTGTCCAATATCTGTATAGCTCAGGTGCCTTGGTGGGGCTTTTTTTGGTGCTTTTATCTAATAGCTAGTTGACTCCGCTTAAGATTAAACACCAAAAAAGGCTTGCTGAAGCACCCACTGTATACAGACACTGTGGAGCTGGGTCAGAGTAATGCACTAGTTCCTCCAGTTAAAGCATTTTTGTTTTTAAACGTTTGCAAGCAGTCTTAGAAGCTAATTGCAGATTGTAAAGAACAGCAATAATTCTAATACCTGCTACAGCTAAAATTAGTTTAGAAATGTGCATTCATTTCAGTATTTCTTTAGGTGCCAATGCTGGTATTAAAATGAATTACTACTTCCTAGTATTGAGTACTATTAAGAATTTAACAGAAGGTTAATCTTCCATAATAGTGCTAGTAATAAAAAAGATTGGTCTAATTCTCAGAAATACATTAATGTAGATTGTCATTATTCCTCTGAAAAGAAATTTATTCAATGTTTTTAAAACCAAATAATTTTTTTAACTAAGTAGTTTTTAGTTATTTTTTAAGTGGGTTTGGAGACACTGACTGACCAACTATTCATTTGCTTATGTAAATTAGTGCAGAAATGTGTAAGAGTCATTTAAAAGGCGAACAGTATATTTTAAACCTGCATTTGAAAATTGCAAAGCAAATTTAGGTGGTGGAAAGTTGCTCCCTCTTACAGATTCACTATAAGCCCACAGCTTTCGAAACCAAATCTGAAGTGCCTTCACATAAATTATAATCTGTAAAATACTTATTTATTTTTGTTTAAAGGGATAAGTAGAATTTCAGATAAATAATCCATTTATCACCACTTTAATTTAGATTAGTCTTTCACTTTGATTTGTGCTACTGGTAGCACATAATATAGGCAAATTCCTACTTGTGGAATTTTTTTATTCCAAGTTGCAAGAGTCGTAATATAGGAAAGAAAATGAAAGCTACCTAATTTAAGTGAACCCAAGTAGAGCAGGTTAAAAAGTCAAAAATTTTAGTAGAACACCATCATGTTCTTGTTGGGCCAAAAACAGTGTTATGTAAAGCTATGTTCTACTGCTAAAAGGGAAAAGCCAAGAAAGCCCATTCACACATATTCATTCAACTTGGGGCATAACCATAATGTACTGTAGTAAAAAGAGATGAAAGTACAGTGCTTCTGAAGCAAGAACAAATAAGATATCAAGCTTTTTTAAAATCCAAAATAGGGATTTATTGTATTAAATAGCAGATGCAGATACAGATACATGGAACATGTGTAAGCAAAAAAAAAAAAAAAAGCCCCCAAC